GGTATGACGGTAGCACAGCAAGGCTGGTATGACGGTAGCACAGCAAGGCTGGTATGACGGTAGCACAGCAAGGCTGGTATGACGATAGCACAGCAAGGCTGGTATGACGGTAGAATCGCAGGCTGGTATGACGGTAGCACAGCAAGGCTGGTATGACGGTAGCACAGCAAGGCTGGTATGACGGTAGAAAAGAGTTGGATCTCAATTTAGCCAATTATTTGTGTCCCAAAATTTGTTTAGAAAGAAAGAACACCACTGTGACTGCCTACTGAGTATATGTGTAGGCTTATGATTGTGAAAAATTGAAGAATTCGCCCACAGGAAAAAAAACTTGAAAACTATATGCTTTTGTCTTATTTAAATCATGTTTTCCAGTGTCTGAAAACATGTTTTTGGCTGGCTGCTCTACAAGTAATTGTATTGTTACTGTGGAAGGATTCAGAACCCCTATGATATTAACTGTACCCAAATCAAAATTACTCAAATATTGTACTCTACCACAAAATTGTGTCTTTCTCCGCCAAATATATAACTAAATGAATGTATAAAATACTAATGTTAAAAAATCCAGTAGCTTCTGTAAACTGTTATGTCGTGGTTTTATATTTTCAATATGACTCGTTTTGTGACGATAAAAGTAAAAGATTTGAAGATACCAAGACATGAATTTATGTTATGGTTCAAGTGTCACTCCCCCCCCCCCAACCAGTCTTTTCTTTCCCTTTTTTTTTTAAAGACTAAGACTTATATCACATGTATCACATCTTTGGGAGGTATTGTCCGGATATAGTGTTCCGTGTTCCTGACAAGAATCGCTTTTGTCCACCTGCACATCCCAAGACAACCACAAGAAGTTATTAAGATACAACAAATGACCAAGCCATTAGAAGTCAAACCCCTTTTATTTAATTTGAAACACCCATAAGAAAGTGAAGTGAGCATGACATATGTGACATAAATGACACACGTATTCCAAACATGTTGGCATTCTTTGTGTCCACGGGACTTTGTGCATACCTGGCGTTTTGGCTCAAAAATCAATTACATCAGGTGAGTGCAGGAGGAAAATGTGAAAATGAGATTTGTACATTTTATATGCAGAAAATGATTAATGTTAAAATGATTATTTGGATTGACATTTTGTTGCGTCATGTTAATGGTTTAGCTTTCAAAATGGTTGCCTGGACCGGCTCGTCATTAATGGACTTTAAGTCAAGATGGGTAGGTTGTCTAGCAATAGATACAGGAAGTCTGATGTTCTCAACTGGTAGTAGACAGCACAGTTTGAGTTGACATTTTCAATTAGAAGAATGGTTGAACTAATACTAGAGGCAACTAACAGTGGCGTCATGAAAACTGTGATGAAATATTCTCAAGTTCTAGTGTCACCAAATACCAGACAGAAATATTACTTCAGAGAAAGGTTCAATTGGGTTGTTGTAACAAATATGTTACCTTAGACAACTGTTCAATTGGCTATTGTAACAAATAAGTCACCTGTACCTAGGAAAAACTGTTCAATTGATTGTAACCAAAGTTTTACCTTAGACAACTGTTCCACTTGTTATGGTAACAAATATGTTACCTTAGACAAAGTTCCATTGGTTATGGTAACAACAAATATTTGATTAGGAATAAAATCACTTCAAATTACCAGTATCCAAGTAATAAATGCACAGTTTACAGATACATAAATGATACCAAAGTACAGTTTTTATACATATTTATATTATTCAAGCTCATAAAGCCAAAACTGTTAAAAAATTATCTTTTAATAAATATAATAAATTTGACATTGAATTCTACTTTTGATTACTGTACAAATCAATCTTCAATTGTTTTTTGTTTTTTTACATAGTGATACTTGTAATTGTAACTTGTAAGAAAATCTGACGATTTTTACATGAGTTCATAAAGTAGCTAGCAAAGATAGCACTACAAAGTAGCTAGCAAAGATAGCACTGGGACTGGTAAAAGATGACGGGATACCCTCACCCAGAGTTGAAGTAAGGGAATCAACCCCCTATACAATATCAACAGTTGACCCTTGTGTGTCTAACTTTTTTGTGATTTTTTTAAACCTCTTACAGTTACAATCCTTTGCAAAGGGGCATAACTCCCATAAACTGATATCAGTAGTCAAGATATAGTCATGCACCAAATTAAGTTTTCTTTGAAAAATCTGTGAGCACAGTTTTGATGTCAAGAGCAATAGTAATAATTGAAAAATAATATTATAACCCCTCTCCTCTAACCATTTGTAGTTAGAGACTGTTACAGATGTTAACAACATTAAACTGTTACATTCTAACGAGAGTATTGGGCATGAAACGTCTTTCCCAGGTAGTTGTCAACTGCAGCCTTACAAGCAATTATGCCTTATCACGACTAAAGCAACAGTTTAACAACCAGAGATTGGACCCCAGATGTGGATGATGGTAAAATTTAATGCATCCTATCTGTAACTGAAAAGTAACGCTTGATGTGTGAGACAATTTTATGAAATTGTAGAACTTCAATTAATGTGACTTTATCTAACTAATTAAACAAGGAAGATTGTGGGTAACACAACGCAACATTCAATTGGTTTGACATAATTTTATAGTCCTTGACAATCAGCCTATTTAACAACATCAAAAAAAAGCACACAGTCTTCTAAGATTTAATGTCAACTAAATGAATCCAAAGTTATTTATGTATTAATTAAAAAAATTAAAAAGCAGAGCTCCGCAACCTTGTTTCACTCTATCAAGAAATTAGATGAAAGATTTTCACTGCCATCAGTTTGGACAGGTTTTTAAAAAAATTTATATAGTAGTGTGGTGTAAAATGTAGTGTATAAATTTGTAAATGACCAGCAATGAACACCAAGTTGAACTATCACACAGTATAGGCATGAAAAGCATGTGCTTGAATAAAGGCCAAAGCGCAAAGGGACAACGTTACTGGTTGTCACTTAAAATTTAAAAATTATAACGTGCTGAGCCGTTTGACTTCACACCTTTTGACAGCTCGTTATTTAACCAATCCTTGTCGCTTTGGTTTCAACAGATTTGTATGGTCTTGGCATATTTTTCATCATCTTAGGGTAATTTTTGCAGCGGCACACCTAGTAACGTCTCGCGACACATCAGTTGCGGAGCTCTGAACTCAAGGATCACATATGTCACATACACCAGTACATTCAATGATACAACATTTTATTTTTCTAACTAAACTGTATAACTATGTTCGGCTAAGAAAATCAAAACAAAACAAAAAAGCATCATAATTTATAAAATCAAAATTTATATACTTTTACTAAATGAATTTAACAAAAACAGAGCAGTGAGCAGATTCATTTTTTGTAAAAGTAGAAGGAAGAAATAAAAATAAACGCTAATAACAAAAATTTAAATAGTTATAAAAAAAAACAAAATAAGTATTTAAAAAACAAAAAATTTAAAAAGGGTTTTCAACTCAAATTATTCTCAAGTTTTTTTTGGTATGAACCTGCTCCTAAATTCACCACTTGATTTAAACATCAGTTTTATAGCAATGGTTGTTGTGCGAAGTAAGCAGCACACACAAAGATTGTTGCAGTGATGGCAATCTCCAGGATCACCATAAGTAAGTGGCTTCATACAGACTGACTGGACGTTTCCCAGCAACAACTAATTAGCCTGAGGCTCATCAATTAAGGAAACCAAACAATTTGATGAGAGTGTGACAAACAAAAGAGGAGCAAAAACCAAGAACTTCTATGAGGGAATGGTCTTCTGATATCACAGATAAATCACTTCTAGAGTAAATGGCTATTCATTATTTACAATCATATTGACACAAAACATCACAATCAGTTCTCATGAAGAATCAGTGAATAAAATGGACCCAATGAGAATTAATTGAGAGCTTTGGCTAAATAAAGATATGATTTGGCAAAGCAAAATAAATCACTTCTACAGTCAAACAGCATTGCTAACTTATTCCCGTAAACGACGTATGAAGGAAACGTATACAAGACTCTTTGATGCCATGATTCAACAAGCAGTAAGCAAACGAAGGAATACATTTTTAAATAAAAGAACTAATTGTAAAGATCAGGTAGGCACCTAAAGTAAGTCCTAAAAATGTCCAATCATTTCAATGAATTTTTTAGTCCCAACTTCATTTGTTTGTATGAAACAAGCATAATTATCAAATAAGTCTCTCTTAAATCGGAAATAACATTAGTTCAAACCATAGAGAACAATAAAAGAAGACTACGTATCAGACATATAAAACAGAACAATTGCAGGCAACCATTATAAATACTACACATTAAATACACGAGTCCTCTATCTAAAATAATAATATGGCAGCCATTGAATCCTAATCCAAAAAAATTTCATCCGATTTTGTTTTTAATTAGAAGGCATGGGTGTCGGCGGAAGCCAAGATTCAGAGATTCATTGAAGTTACAGTAATGGTTATTCACAAACAAATACCTCTATAAATCCATAATGGTAAACCAACTGCCGTTGTGTCATCTCCAGGAAGTTTTCTTACAACAGTAGTAAAGTTTGCCCAGACTTGCGAGTGGAGAGAGGGTTTACAAACCTTAGGTTGTGCTAATGTTAAATACATCTACCTATGATTATTTTTTAGAAAATTCATGAAAATGCCTCCGAGAGTGGCATCAGTAAACATCCCCATTTGAACATTTCTAATCTATCAGAGAGTGGTAGCTGTAAACATCCCCATTTGAACATTTCTAATCTATCAGAGAGTGGTAGCTGTAAACATCCCCATTTGAACATTTCTAATCTATCAGAGAGTGGTAGCTGTAAACATCCCCATTTGAACATTTCTAATCTATCAGAGAGTGGTAGCTGTAAACATCCCCATTTGAACATTTCTAATCTATCAGAGAGTGGTAGCTGTAAACATCCCCATTTGAACATTTCTAATCTATCAGAGAGTGGTAGCTGTAAACATCCCCATTTGAACATTTCTAATCTATCAGAGAGTGGTAGCTGTAAACATCCCCATTTGAACATTTCTAATCTATCAGAGAGTGGTAGCTGTAAACATCCCCATTTGAACATTTCTAATCTATCAGAGAGTGGTAGCTGTAAACATCCCCATTTGATCATTTCTATCTTTAAATGGGCTTGAGACGTGAATGTCATAGATTTCATCATTATCATATTAATGCTATTCCATTAACTGTTCAAATTTCAGCAATGAATTATCTACTACTGGTTTTCATTCATTTTTCTTCTTGTCTTTATATCTGTAATGTTTTCCTCCAGCTTTTAGCTCTGTCATAATATCATCTCATATTATTTTAACATATAACCATCTACCATGTATAGAGGTAATTATTCAGAATAACCTGCAAAAAAAAAAAGATGCATGCAACTTACGTTCATAATATTATCAATAAAATACAAACATATTAGAATTGCTATGTAATACTCAAATATAGAGACAACCGGGTTTCTAAAGCTTACGAGGTATCTTAAGTATGGAGAGAACCGGGTGTGTGTATGGCACTAAGACATGTTTCATGTGACTAGACAGCAAATCACTTCCAACAACAACCGGTCTCGGATGTGAGGAGCCGATGACAACAGTTCTAATTTACAACAATGGCAACAACCAACAAAAAATGTATGACTGACAAGGAACGAAGGATGACTGTCTAGCTAAGTTTGACTGACATTGCACAATGATATGATGGTGAAAACAACAGAGTATCCAATAACTGAGAACGACAGTCAACTTATGTCCCAGGTCTTATTTATAATGTGCCTGGGTTGGAGAGGGGAGACCCATCTTACATGATGGGGATCAACACAAAACATTTGAAGTAGTGAGGGAGAGAATAGAGAGAATGGTGGACAGTCAGTGGTCATGCCATAATGCATATACACTGGACTGATGACCATCCTTGTCAAACATAAATAGTGTTACATTTAGGGTGGGTATTTCAAGTTTAGGGTTGAGGGGAAGGGTGAATAAGGCTGCTAATGTGTGAGCTGTGGCACAGCAGTGACCATGAAGTAGTGGCCATCCAGTGACCATGAAGCAGTGGCCATCAAGAAGTGTGTGAATGGGAATATATAGGGGTGCCACATTCAATTCCATGACAGTTATGTTTTTTAGAATTTTGTTCTTTAAAAATTTGAAATCATTTATTGGCTTCCAGGCCATTCAAAAGGAAAATTTGGAGTTGGAGGCACAAAGTTATCCAACTCTATATGATATCACGTCATCTATAATAAGGTAAAATTTAATTGTAGTGAGGGTCAGACTATGCCAAGTAACTTGGACTCTATTCTACAATGCTGATAACAGTGAAACATCAAGTACTCATAAAATTAGTCTAAATTTCAACAGTAGTCAAGCTCTATATATAAAACAGCAGTGATAGAATGTGCTCTAACATAATTCAAAACATAATTGACTTTTTGAAAAAAGACCAAGTCATATTTCATTTCCTTCTTAAATGTGTACATGTCATTCATCTGATATTCCTTTACCAGACAAAAATAAAAAACGCGAACCAATTCAAAACGTGGCAAAAATAACTCAATGAAAAAAAGGACATCAATATGTATAAGGGTTCCGCAGGTCAGATAGGCCAAGTTAACTTTCTAAATAAACACACAATAATTAACATTAGTTATCTCTAATAAATAGAATCCTGGCAAACTTTGCCATCCCACAATAAACAATCCCTTTTTCAAAGGTAAATACATTTCCTATGTCAGAGACTAATAATTGTCCCCCATAGTCATTGGACTGCCCCCCCCCACACACACACACAATGTTGGGAAACACTGATCTAGATAATCTTGTAGCTTTCATTTCTTTACAATGTATACAAATGTATGCAGTTTTTTTAAATTAAATGGCTACTCTGGTCTTATGAAATGACAGATACTAACATATTCATACAATTAAAATGTGTCCATTTATTTGTAGGTTGTTGCTCACATTTTTGGTCCTATATTCATATAATAGTGAGGTGGGAACCTAACCTATAGTCAACACCTAACAATGCCTTCAAGATACTAAACAAACAGTTATTTAAACATGAAAACTACTTATTAAAATGTTCATAAAATAACCAATGATTTTCAGCCACTTTTTTTTTTTAAATGGTCACTAATATATTTGGCCACTTGTTTACTGATCACTAATATAACATTTGGCCACTTGTTTACTTATCACTAATATGACATTTGACAACTTGTTTACTTATCACTAAATATGACATTTGCCACTTGTTTACTGATCACTAATATGAAATTTGGCCACTTGTTTACTTGAACCTAACACGTGAACCTCTGATGTGGCATTGGGACAGAGGGACATAAATCAACAAAAAACAAATAAAATTACCCGTACATTCAGCAACATTTATATGTTTATCAAGATGAAATAGTTAGAGTAATCTTTCCCTGCAAACAATAACTTTTGAAGTGTGGACCCAAGGGACAAATGTTAGTTTTAGATGTCAGGTTGATGTGAGGTGTGATGACAATGGTGCATGGAGTTGATGATGACAATTTCCCCTGAAAACAGTGGCGCCACTGTGACTATCTATGCACAGTTCATTATAAATCAAAACATCAAATCAATAGCGTCATTGTTTTAAGGTTATGCAATGTTAGGTTCCAATGAAACGGATCTTTCACATGTAGGAATTAAAAAACCCAAGCCAGACTAAAATAAGACATGAGGTGTTAGATCATGGTTTGATGCTTGACATTTCTTTAAGTTTAAGAGCTGTCATAAAATATTATGAATGTCAAAGTGTTCAAATGTTCGAGATCAGGAAAAAATGAGGTGTTTTATTCCTTTTTTAAATTGTCAATTGCTGCATAAGTACAAAAGCTTTTAAATCTGATCCAGCAAATTTTTCAGCCTGATTATAAAGGCAAAAATTGTGACAAATTCTATGTCATACATTTGTGTTTTAATGGTTTAATGTTTTAACTTACTGATCAATAATTAACAGCATTACACTAATTCATCAACTTTTTCAAATTATTATATCCCAAAGGGATATTAGTCAGGCTTTGCTTGGAGTGCAACAAAAATAGTGCATATGAATTTCAACAAATTTGAGGGAATCAGAAAACTCCAATAACTCATTCTAATTTTTTTCTTATATGAAAATCATGGCATTGCGCCAAAATCTACAAAACCAAAAAACTGTAAACACAAGGAAACACATCTATTATAAAACACTGTTGACACACTAAAGCAACTAACTCCAGTGAAGCTAACTTCTTCCCTTTTGAGGACACAAACAAATGGTTTAAGTAGTGACGGTGTTATAAATATAAATTTAAAACAAGTCAATCAAAATTCTGTGGCAATAAAAGTATATATCATGCCTTTATGGTATCAGCAGTAACTCATTTGCTAATAGAGATCAATACTTCCCTAGAAGAGTTCATTGGTTAAAAGGAATCTAATGCCCTACTGAATATTTTACATCAAACTATTAACTGTCACAGTGCTAATTATTTATAACACTGGACTGTATTTAATTAATTCTTTAGAAGTAAACAGAGAGGTATCAGTGAACTGTCACAGGGCTAATTATTTATAAGACTGCAGTGTATTTAGAAGGATACACAAATGTATCAGTTAATGCCACATATGAATATTTTTGTAGTAATGAACTGAGCTTATCCTTCATGACAAAAATTTGTGTAGCAAATATGCACTGAATATTCAAAGTAATGTATTAATAAAAGGGATTAATCTCTCGTAAAAGTGTTAATGCAAAAGTCAAAAATTAGTTAAATTTCATATAGCTTATTTATTTCACATACCGGTAATAATCTTCTTTAAGGTGTTTGTAGCGCAGTCATAAATTAATCTAAGTCAAAGAAATGAAGAGAAAAGTATCTTACGACAGACTTTAAATGAAAAAAAAAAAAAAATCAACTGATCACACTCAAAGTGCTAAGATGTCAGTGAAGATTTACTGCCATGTTGCCTTGTCTTTGGTTCTTATCATTTAAGTATGGTAAAATATAACACATCCTACGAAAAATAATGTGTAATCAACAACAAAGTTCATCATACAGTATTTGACATATGCTCTTTCAAATGAATTAATTGTTTGAATTAATATTTTCTTTTTGAATAGGGTCAAATATTAGCCATTTCATGTTTTCACAAAATAAAATATTTAAATGAAATGACTGGTTGAAATCAATGTTAAAAAAACAACTATTTTCCCATTCATTCAAACAGAATAACATTGCTACAATGCAGCCATTATAATAAGCCATTATAGTTTCTAATTTTGCTACCACTATGTTTAAGGCATGACAGACTCTCTGAAGATGCACACAATTTACTGCAGTTCAACTAGTTGCCAGTTTATAAGCTACAGCATTAAAAAAAAAAATGAAAGAGGAAGACACCATAAAGATTTTCACATAACTCTGCCAAGCAAATAATTTTTTTTTAGACAGAGGGTCAAAGACAACAAATGTTACTGATATGTACCAATTTAATTACAGCGCTACTATCAGTGCCATTATTAACTTTATCTTTAACTTTGATATCCTATACAAAGGAAATAAATCATCCCTCAATGTAATTTAATAAATTTTAAAAATATCGCAACAAATTTTAAGAAATTTAAAATCACAGGATAATGAAATAATGAGTTAATTACACAAATGGTAAACAAAGAAAAGCTCTGTTGGGTATCATAAGCTTGCTCAACCAAGAGTAAAAGGCAATCAGTCAAGCAGCCAATGATGACGTAAATATGGAAGTGATTAAATTATGATATAAAGTAACAAAAGTTGAAAGAAATATCAGGAAAATGTAACGTAGCAGTAAGTCATACAGTCCAACAGAAGTCATTGGTTGGTTAATTTTATCACAAGAACATGAAGATCATCACAAGGTAACAACCAAATCAGCAAGTTCAGTTTTAAGAAAGCTGTTATCACCCCCACTAGCAGTCTCTACCATCATCTGTACCATTTAATATATGGCCATCGAGAACAACATAAAGTATAGCAGGTAGGTGTTAACTGCAAGCCTTCAGGATTATGTAATATCAGACAGTTTTTTTTTTTTACTCTTAAAAATCGATGAAGTGATTCAAAATCAATTAGATTCAGAAAAGTTTTTTCTAATATAATTATGGAGGTAAATTTCCAAGTATTCATTACAATGCACATTGAACAAAGCAATTCAAAATTTAATCATGCCAAAAGAAAAAATAATAATAATTAAGTGATTCATCAATGGTCGTTCACTGACAGCTAAAAGGAACAACTTCAACATTGAAATATCTACATATATAAATACACATTTGTCTGAACAGAACTGCACATAAGCGCATGAGGTTAATTTGTGCAACATTGCATTGTGGATGAATTTCTGAAAGTGCAATCCACAAATGCTGCACTTAATCATATACAACTCGTTATTGATGAGGAACTGGTCAAACATCATTCTTTTAGTGAACACATTAAAATTCAACACTGATATCTAACAAATCGATTAACTATTAGGATTAGCTAAAGGCATCCATTACCCCATACAATCTATTTATTTATTTATTTAAAAATTAGGTATTATTTTCTACTGTGATATAATGTTAATCTATTCAAGAATTTTCCTATAATTTATGTTTATGGAAGCTACTCTAAATACATTTCTGACTTTACCTTTTTCCATAAATTGCCCTTTTTATTTTTCCTTCCTTCTTTTTTTTCCTTTTTCTTTTTTTCTTTGTGTTAAATTTGTAACTTTTTAAAAATTCAGATTCCTGAAGCCAAAGTTTTCCCAAGATATAAATGATGAAGTATGAACCTTATGCAGATGCATAGTCATCATTATTTTTATGTATCTTTGACTTGTTTAAATGACCTATTAAACATAAAGGGTAACAGCATTCAGCTTTTATACTTGATGAAAGAGAAAAACATCTTTTAAGTATCTAGAATTTGACAATTTCAAACCTGAAATCTAGAATTGGAAAACTGAAAAAAAGCTGAGTTGTTCATAACCCAAATATCAAAATCAACATTAATAATTAATTATATAATAAATAATTCTTACTGAAAAACCACGAAACCTCAATATACAATCTAACCCTGACTGTGATTATGAAACATTGTGAAGTAGCCCATAAAATTAAGTCCTATCAAACAGTGAATATTCCTATAAAATCACCAGTGCTAATGCAAGTATCTATAACATAACCTGTACCAATGCAAGGATGTGCAGGTCTGCACTTAAAGAGTCTGCCTTGTCTCAATCATTTGCCTCCTTTGCTACAGTTTGCAGAACAGCTATCTGGGGCTCTATGTAAGCTCTTTAGTAAAATATGAACCTTTGATGAGAAAAAGAGGAGAAATAGACCAGTCAGTTTTAAAAGTAGCCAGCAATTTAAAAAACAATTAATTTGTATTTTCTCAGTCTTAAATTCTTTAAACGTATGTTGATCCTTGTTCAAAATTAAGCATTTTTCTATTCTCATTACACTATTCTAATAAAATAAAGCACATATCAGTTATGTGTGTGTCTTCAAAAGAAAAAAATTCAGACAATATGAATTTGCAAGTGGTGTAAAATTATTGCTAGTGGCAAGAGCCATTGGATTAAGGTTGCCAAATTATCATTATACAAAGACCCTGTTCTTCATAAAAATCAAGCTTTTTTTAAAAAATCAACAAACCTCTTCTAGCAGGTGAATGTTAGCTTCCAAAACACTGTGAAGCTGACGAACTACTGCAGTATGAGTCTCAGTCTGCAACCAATATAAGTTGCTCATTGCTCTGTCTCTGGGAACACAAGTCAACAAACATGAAAATATCCAGCAAGCAAGACAAAGTTCTAAATTAAAAACTGTCAAAAATCTTATGTAAAACAAAACCGCAGACCTGTTTACCCTCAAACTCTTAAAATTGTACAACATCATCACAAAATCGTTCAATACATTATCTTAATAGTAGAAAAATAAACATAAAGTATATATAATGTATACACCTCAAATTCGTACATTGTACCCCAAAATCGTAAGAGTGAACAGGTCTGAAACGGTTAAGTTTACAACAATGATAATATCCAAAATGGTTCAGAACTTTAAATCCCAATTTGAAAGGAGTGAAAAGGGAGAAGGAGCTCAATATACGCTACTTTAGATCAAGGAAATAGGTGAAACAAAGGATGGGAAAATCTTCAAAAGGGAATGCAACAAAACAACATTCATTGTTTCGTTGCATTCCCCTTTTCAGGTTTTCCTATACTTTGGTTCACTCATTTCCTTTTTTGCTAACCTGATTGCAGTCTCTCCCCTTATTACTACTTTAGATCAAACATCAGCCAATTTTTTTTAAAGGTGAAAACCATTATTTTTTTTTTTTAAAGTGTAAGACAAAAAATATTTATTTTGATTAGGATTATTTGTCCCTAAAAACAAAGAGTGTTAAGTTTTGAGCTGCTTTTAGTATCTAAAAAAATTCAATATTTGTTATTTCCCCACCTAAAACTAATAGAAGCATGCGGTGTCCAAACATTTCTGATCTCCAGTCTGCTTTGCAGTAAGAGTATCTTGTAGGTAAGTCCCATGGCTGACAGGAACAGAAACAAGACACTGAAAAAAGAAAATTTGAAAAATTATAAAACACAATTTCTGCTGACTTTCAAGCTTTTAACAAAATATTTTGATCTGACTACATAAGAAGCACAGTTATCTCGTTGAAGTGGTGGAAAAATAAATATGACATGCTAAAATATCATTTGCTAATTTTGCAGCAATAAATTTGTTATATCTACAATATTGTTGCGTTGGTTTATACTATTTAATTTTCAATTTTACTGATGCTGTTTTTTCGCAATTATTAAATAAAATAGTTTTTTTTAAGAGGCAGAATTTCTTTACTGCTGCTGTAATATTGAAGATGAAATAAATATAAAATAACATTGAGTAATTGTTTTTACCCAGTTACAGAGTACTGGAATTTTACATGTCTTTTTTTTCATATACTTACAGAATAGTGCAAATACAAAGTAGCATGTTAGTACCAGGTATTCTGGAAAGGAGAATATATATTGTGTAAGTCAATGCAGGTAAGTGTGGTGGGATAGGTCTCAAAAAAATTATTTTTTTAAAGTTTTCTTGAATTATGAGCTTATTAGATCATGTCTAAGCAACCAATGAAAAATAAATATTAAGAGGGAGATGACGTCAATATGTAACTATGGACTTACTTTTGGAGTTTTAGTGAAAATGAATAGAATGTATTCATTGCACTTCTGCAGTTCAAACCTGACAACAAAAATTTATCAACTTTGGTCAGTCATGAGAACTAGGGCACTTAACAAAGAATAGCAGAAAACAGCTTAGTACACTTTATAACAAGGATTTAGTCCACTTCACTTTTCTCTCTTTCTAACCCTCTCTGACATTCTTATTTGACCCACGCGAATCTCTTCTAACCCTCTCTGACATTCTTATTTGACCCAAGCGAATCTCTTCTAACCCTCTCTGACATTCTTATTTGACCAAGAGAATCTCTTCTAACCCTCTCTGACATTCTTATTTGACCCAAGCGAATCTCTTCTAACCCTCTCTGACATTCTTATTTGACCAAGAGAATCTCTTCTAAACCTCTCTGACATTCTTATTTGACCCAAGCGAATCTCTTCTAACCCTCTCTGACATTCTTATTTGACCCAAGAGAATCTCTTCTAACCCTCTCTGACATTCTTATTGGACCCACGAGAATCTCTTCTAACCCTCTCTGACATTCTTATTTGACCCAAGAGAATCTCTTCCAACCCTCTCTGACATTCTTATTTGACCCACGAGAAGCTCTTCTAACCCTCTCTGACATTCTTATTTGACCCAAGAGAATTTCTTCTAACCCTCTCCGACATTCTTATTTGACCCACGAGAATCTCTTCTAACCCTCTCTGACATTCTTATTGTACTCACAAGAATCTCTTCTAACCCTCTCTGACATTCTTATTTGAGCCAAGAGAATCTCTTTTCTTTTTTTATCAAGAATGTTGCTTTGCACCAAGGTGACCTGATTTTAACTCTTATCAAGCTTGCAGTACGCTTTTGATAGGTGTGACACAATACTACTTTTATATTATTTATCCAGACCTGTTTACTCTTACGATTTTGGCATGCAATGTACGATTTTGAGGTGTTTACATCATATATATACTGCACTTTTTTTTTTCTATATAGAGAATGTAATGAACGATTATGTGATGATATTGTACGATTTTTGAGAGTTTGAGGGTAAACAGGTCTGTTTATCTACTCACATGGCTGAGAGCCAGTTTGCCTGACAATCAGGGAAGGATCTGAATGCCTTAGGACATCCACATCAATTTTGCGATGTGTTCCAGAGAGTAAGACTCTGTCCAGTTGATCCTCCGCATTAATATCATCTTCTGTTGTGTCACTCTCTGTGCTGTCACCACTGTGAGAGAGACCTAACACACTAGCTCGTTCATGTCCAACATCTCCTAATATCTGAAACACATTTATATCGATTGATTTTGAACTGATCAGCAACTTCATAAATGTTTTCACTTAATACTACTTAATTTATTTAATTATAACATTTTCTTAACATTGAGACATAACTTCAGAAATTTAATATTGAAATGGTTGAAACTTTAATGAGGTGTTTATCAAATTTTTTTGGTTACATGCTAATCCCACTGGATTATTTGTAAAACACTACTGAAGATGAACACATTCTCCATCTCAAGAAGTTACAGTGTCTAATGTGAGCTGATAAAAAAACAGTTTGTGGAACTATACATGCAGTTTCATACATTAACATATAAATGATATATTTCCATTTAATAGTACCATTTGAATTACATTGATGGCATCTGTCTTTCTTTTACATTTACATGCTTCATCATGCATGACTCGCTCAAGTTGAAGCATTCAAAATTTCCCCATCAGATTGCTTTTAAAAAAACATTTTTGAATTTGGCCCAAATGATAATAAAAGAGAGAGATTTTTATGTTTTTAATGCCACCTTAACCAATTTAACTTCAAGCCATTCAGTCAACCTTTGTAGATATTAAAAATTTCAATTTTAGACAATTTTCACCAGAATAAGAAGGAACAAATTGCTTTAGTTTATCTCAGATTAGGGCTGCATTTCTTTAATCTGTAGAACTGATAGATTTAAATTATAGAGAAATATATAATTAAAAGATATTGTGTATTTTGACCAACAATTAAGTTTATGTGGTACTAGCTAACACTTATTCTATTTTGGTATAAAAGCAGACTGCATTGAATGGAAATAACCTGCTTTGTTGACAGAGTGAAACAAGTGCTTTTACAAATATGGAGTTGTGTGCAGAACAACATAGATGCTCAGATTTTATTTAAAACTTGAATAGAGAGCCTCAAAGATAGTGAAAAGCAATATATATTAACTGATTAGTGGCATAATTTCAGCAATATTCAATTAATATAAGGCAATTCAGATGAATTTAACACCAATTTAGAGTTTTTAAAAGCTAAAATTATTATATCACAGAAAATATTAAAAACTTAGAGAGAGAAGTTGTGAGACAGGCTTGATTATTTAACCACAAGGAGTATCAATGGTTCAACTGCAACTGATTGGTACAAATCAAATATACATTTCTTGGGATCCAAATGTATTGTTAAGAATGAGCCACTTACTTCACAATTCAATCAATTTTAATTGCTGAACTAAACTTTAGCTTTTATTTCTTATGAGCCTGAACAAATAAGTTTGACAATGTTTATGAGTGATACCTACACTGGCTGCCATAGAATCTTGAGATCAGGACAACTGTTGCAACTAATTTAACAATCAAAAAGAGGGGTACACTTGAGTTACAAGCTATGTTATGATACCTTTAGTTGAAAATTGCGAGAAATATGTTTGATATTTCAACAAAATAAGACCTATTGAACTCAACACATAGCATGTAGAATACCTCAATACCTCTCTAGCAAAGTTCATTTGAAACTTATGCCTTTTACCACGAATGGGGCTTGGGCCATCTTCAAGAATTTACCATTTATCTCGGTAATGTGCTTTCCTTTCTAATTGCTTCCAGGTGTATCTCATACTTTGTGCGTCTGCTGATAGCTCGTGTCTCTTTATATTCTTTGGCCTTTACCTCTTCCTTTTTCCCCAGAGGATTCCGTTAGGGATTGTCTGGTGATGTTATCGGGGGGCTAAAAAAGAGTGTGCCCTATCCACCTCCATCTTTTCCTTATGGCGTCTTCAGTGTTAGGCACTTGGTATGTCCTCTCCAGTAGTCTTTGTTGGTGATGATTTTTTGCCATTTAATGTTTTATTTATTTGTTAAGCATCAAATTATTTCTAATTTAGTAATTTAGTCCGCATTCTTAAAATATGAGTGTTATAATACTTATGATGAATAATAAATATACACGCATGAATATAGAATAAAATTTAGCACTGCCTCCATAATAAGATTTTATTAAGCAATATAATTATATTAAGCATTATAGCATTAATATATGAATGGTCAACTTATGTAGTGATTTTTGGAAGGACACCCATTTTTTGTAAAAGCAGTATTGAAAAACTAAACTAAACTAATCATCGAAACTTCCACCAAATGACTAAATATGACAACTGCAAAAGAATGTTTAATAAACAAACTACTCCAATATGTTCAGCCAAATATTACAAACTTACCAAATCTTGGTTAAGTTTCCACAATGATACCAATTTTTTGTAGGTGGAATCTCTTGAGATGAACGATCCAAAAACATACTGTAAAAAAAAATATGATAGTCTCATTTTCATATTTTTAAAATTCTTACTTAATTGGAACTCCAAAAACATATTTTGACAAATTTTATTAACAATTTAAACTGCCTCAAATTCTTGATTAATCTCAACTTAATGAACTGACAAAGATTTATTATATTAACGTTCACTACAAATATATACTGAAAAGAAAATTGGAATATTTTATGGTTTTATCTTGTATTTAATTAATCTCCAGAAGTCAAAATTATTATAAACAATAAATATTTAAACTAAGTTCTTATTGATTTCAAAATCAATTTCCAAAATGCATTCCATTAGTTAAAATTAGTTTTTAGCCACAGTCTAGATGCTCACTCATACCAAGTTGTTGAGAATTATAGTTTAACAGAAAAAAAAATCTATTTAAAAAAAAATTTGGTTTCAAGTGACAAACTTATTTAAAGGGTCTCGTGCATGTGAATGTTGTAAATTTATGTGATGACAGAGTCTCAAAAGTAAAAATATTTTCATACACAAAACGAAGCAATGCTTTTGTATATCCTATCTTGGATCAATAAAAGAAATTTTAACTCCTTGTAGTTAAGCCCTTGGTGACAAAATACATTCCTATATCTAATGTAACATAATTAACCAAAACTTAAATAAGAAAGACTAGCATATTAATACAGATACCAGTCCTTAACTTTATTTTCAAATAAGGGATCTGAGCTTGCAGTTCAAAATGCCAAAGTACACTCAAGAACCTAACAGCTATTCTGACCACAAAATGAGTCACAGAATGTTTTGCTACATACCAATTTTAAGAAACTACAAAAACACAAGGACTTTCAAAACTGAAAACAATATATGTACAATGCAATCAAGGCAACCTCCAATTTATTTTGAATCAATAAAAGCATCTTATGTCCTAACTATTCCACATCAATCTAAACCAGAACTTTTTGCTCAGTGAGTCATCATATACTGTTTAGTTGCCAGGTTATAATACAAATAAAAAAGGTACTTGTGGGCATTTTACCAAACAATGAGATGGGCATCGTGTGATCCATAGAATCTTATTTAATGATGATTCTCCCTCTGAGGAATCTTCTTTAAAGCTTATATCTTTTAAATTTCTGAATGTTGTATGTCTGGACTTCGAGATTAGTTAGTCGGTTGTGTCATGACAAAGGTGGAAAAGGTGCTGGTCTGAACCAAAAGTTAAGTGACTTGTGTGCATGTTTTTGTCACTTATTTTACTGTTTGTGACTATGTCTAATAGCGTGACTGTTGATGTTATTTAAAACTGATGACACAATTTTTGTGGGCTGATACTGGCTATTTTATCTTGTCCAGGAGATGTAGACAAAATTTTAAAATCCATTTTCTTAGTATCTGCATTTAAATAATACCCAAGTTTTGTAGACAAAAATAAATAAATAAAAATCATGGCTTAGAATGATTTTCAATATAAAGAAAATACACTTTTTAGAAAAAGACCCTCAAAACCAGAACACAAAAGGCAGTTAATGAATAGTTCTAGTAACCTTGTCTTCATCTAGAATTCATCTACATACCTTGTGATCTGCTATCTGGATACCAATGGCATTTGGAATGATCAAAGCCAACTTTTCTCTTGTGATGCTGATAATTTTATCAAAGGGGATTTCAATCTATGGAAAATATTGAAATTTAACACACTTCATGTTGGATACATGAACCTATATTTACATAAATTGTTTTCTGGGTAAAATACATCAGGAATTAGGTATTTAATGGTGTTATTTTGTTACGTTCATTGGTCAATAGTTTTATTACTGAAACCGAAGCAGGGTGTTTGCATAAATTATTTCAATCAAAGATTTAAAAGATATTTAATTTAAAAACAAATAACTTATATTCCAGAACATCCCTACAAAATATAATAATAAACCTAGCAAGTCAACAAAACAAAATGATTAAAAAAAAATTCTTCTCTGGCTGACTTGCATTGGTAATAAAATTAAGCATGAGGAAGCTTAAACTTAGCATAATACTGTAAGCAGGGGGACATCATTTTCAAGAAGCAGTTTTTTTAAATGAAAGCATCAATTAGTGAAAACATGGGTAGCCGGATCTAGAAATAATAGAGTAAAGGAATATGTGTAATGGAATATATACCCCCCCACACCCCACTTTTTTTTTCCGCCTATTTCCCAGTGTGATTTTGATTTAAAGGTTTAGTAGGTTGTTTTTTTTAAATTTAATTTATAAAGCTGTATAAGTATTCGAATTACAAAATGAGTAATTTTTCTATCTTAACTATAACAGGTACCTTAGAAGTGTGCAAGAAAAATAAGTAATCAATAATAGACTTCAACTAACATTTTTGATAGCATAACTTAATGTCAATATGTTGAGCTGAACGAAAAACAAAGAGGTTACATAACACAACACTGACATTAAATATATAATTTCAAATCTACGTATTTAATTATTTTATAGCCAACAGTAAATGGAAGTGAAAGCAAAAAGGAAAAATAAGCTTACACAACGTCCCTTTGCCTTGATCTTTGAGTAGAAACATACCCATTTATGGGAGACATACATTTGACCATGAAGCAGTATGTCCCCTTTGAAGGCACAGGAGAAGGCTGCAAGACATTGTTATGATTTGTGGTTACAATAAAGGAATCTTTTGATATGACTATAACAAAAAATTTAGTGAGAGACATTATTTTAATGACATTGCATTATCTAAGCATATATTAATCCAATGACAGCAGCTTAAACTACATTAAATCCATCAAATCTATCCAAAAAAGAATATTTAAAATCCATGATAATATAAATCTAAAATGTAATTATTCTAGCTGCCTAGATTTTACTGAAATTGACTTAGGGGTTTAAAGATTCCTACAAAGACCTGTGAATCCTGTTATGAGCTTTTGTGATATTAAACTACATAATTTATAAAGTGCCACGCCAGACTAACATTCAATATTTACAGTGCCAAAGCAAACTTACATTCAATAGGATACTCTTCAACTGGAGCAGACTTGAATAATTTATGGAAACGAAGTGTCCTTGATTTACTCACATTGATGGGCAGTTCCTGATGAAGTAGAAGAAAAGTATTTTTTTATAATCTCTATTATAATGGGTGCGGCATCAAAAGTAGATTGAAAACCTATTTAATTAGAAATGCAGTTACAGTTTCCCATGATACAACTGAAGGATGAGTCTTTAATTTTTACTATTGAGGCTTTAATCTGCACTGCATCTATAATTAGACTAACACAGATCAAAGATGGACCAACCACCTATGACCTGTAGCAGCTGGAACTCCTCTATAAGGAGGAGAGTTGAGAATAATCAGTGGATATTTAACTGATGAAGTTGCGAATAATCAATGAACATATGACTGATGGAGTTGAGAATAATCAGTGGACATATCAATGATGCAGTTGAGAGTAAAATACAATTTGTTTATGAAAGTAAATGACTGATGCATTAACAACTTACAAGTGTAGATGGAACATTATGGGTTAATACTATAGGCACAGGGTGTGGACCGTAAATAAATATGACCCATTTGAGCTTTAGTGCATAGTGACAGATAAACTTTCAAAAACAAAGCTTACAGTTACATCTGGGACTTTCTTGGCTGGGCTCTTAGGACTTGGGCTTGGACTGCAAGGTAAGTAAGAGTACAACAGTGCAAATAGAAGCTCTTAATATACACAAGAAAATTCAGCAAGAAAACAATGGCTCTATTTTGATTTGAATCTTTTAAGGTGCATTTAAGTTACAAAATATTGATGACACAAGTTATCTCTAAAAGCTTAAAAAAATATACACTTGATACACTTATAAGACTAGTTGAAAAGTGATCATGAATGGCTCTAATACATTCTAGATTTAAGTTCTTGTCAAAACTAGATTTAACCTGGATGATATATCGATATCATAATCACATTTTTTTTTTTTTAAATAGTAATTAATAAATAAGATTTAACAAAATATCAAATAAACTCTAAAAATATCAATCTATAAATACCATTTATTTCAAATGATCATTTTTGAACATTAAAAATGCATGCCACATATTTTCCTCATAAAGTTCAAACAGATTCGTATAATGAATAGACAATAATTTAACAGAAGCTGGAATAGAATTGTGTCAATATCACTTATACCCTTATGGTAGGCTGGGTCTAGTTTTCAAAAAAAAAAAAAAATCAGTATGCCATCTTACTGATAAAGGTGCAGTGCTGGTCTATGAGGCTGGTGAGTTCAGGTGTCGCCCAAGGGCGCCAAGAAAATGGGGGTGCTAAAATGATTTTTACTAACAATCAATATAATATTTATATCATCTTATTTTGAAAGAGGTACCATGGAAAAAAACACTGCCTAAGAGCACCAAGGAGTTTAAGTCTGGTTAAGTCCTGATCTTTAAGTATTCATTTTGATTTTACTATTACCAAGGACTTAACATGGCTAAACTCATTTTATATCTTTGAAGTTTTTCAATTATATCTTCCCAGATCTCAAACTCAATTGTTTATAATAATTGTGTTAGTAATGAAAAGTTTCACAATTTTATCTTTGTCTATAAAAACTTCAAATGAAACTAATATTTAAATATAGTTTATCACCAACACCATTATTAACTATAACTGGCATATATGACGGGCATAATAGTTTCTGATATAAAAGAAATAAGTATAGTTGATTTGGCCTTGTGGTTTTCCTAGATATGTGGGCAAACAAAATGAAAATGATGCACAGTGATTCAAAACAGAATTTTAAGTACAATTAAGATCAAGCCTACAAAGAATGTGGCTGTGTTTTTTTAAATTTAACTTGATGAATAAACACATAAAAATAATCACATTGAGAAAATAATATTAATAATAGCAAACAATTAGTTCAATCTCACTCAAAGTTCCATCTGAGTTCTGACCGATCATCTTTGTCCAAAATAGAAATGCATAAGACAAAATAAATTATATACTGCTGTGATGAAAGGAAAAGAAGAAATAAATTGTACACTGAAATAAATCAAACTTTTTGTTTCTCGTTTTAACATTTACCCAATATGTGGGAGTGGGTTTTCCTGGGCAAAAGTCGCCATGTTATAAACAGTCTTCTTTCTCAAAACTAGATGAATTCTGAAAATACAAGTAGCAACAGTACTTAGTAGCACAGTTCTCTCCCTCAAATGAAGATGATAACTCCACCTATCAGGAAAAGGCACATAAAGCTCATAGGCGCCCAAAATACAAATTTGGCTGGATTTTCAGATAACTCGGCTCAGATAACTTTTAATGTTATCTATTTGCTAAGAAATGGAGAAAATGCTTGATGTTATATTTTTTGGTTGTTAGAAAAATATATTCAAAATGATTTCCAATTTCAATACACAAAATTCATGATTAATTACCTTCCATCAGATTTGTTGCCTGAAGTAATAGGACTGATTCCACTGTCTGGACCCAGTCGATGTCCTGATAAACAATTTAATACGAGAATAACTATAAGCAGAACACTAAGAAACAATTGGCGATAAAATTATTTTATATTTACGGTTCATCATTTTGTTTATGAACTAACTCTTCTCTCAAGCTTTTTAGAAAGCAGTTTTGATTGTAAAAAGTACCTAGAAAGAAGCCTTAAGGAAATTGTACTTGCATAATTTTTAAATTATTTTATTCTATTAACACATAAAAAGTATTCATTCCTGTAGTTGTGTTACAGCACTAGAATTATCATCCAAATTGGAAAACTCTCTATATGATTCATTTTAAGTAGATTGTACCTGTGTTTAGAAAGGGTGAAGCTGGAGGTGGAGGTGTGCCATCAGCACTTGATGTGCCAGGGTCATCCATAAAAGTTTCATTTGTTATGGTTCTGGTCACAGCTCCTGGCACCTCCATCAGGTCAGCCCTGTAAGTTAAAATATGTTAAAGTATGCTGATAATACAAATATATGACACATAATATATGTATGACAGTTATGCCAGTAAATGACGCAGTGGCATTGAAATACCAAGTAAAATTTGTGAATTCTACATTATGGGTGGAAATTTTCATTAATCAACTCAAGTAACAAACTTATGAAATGCTCACTTGAATGTCAACAAGATCAATTGACTATATTTTGTCATGCAAGGGTGGAAATTGCTTTAACAAACTAATAGTTGTAGATCATAAAAATAATGGTCCATGGTATTAATCCTTATTAAGGCTCAAACAAAGTAGTAATTATGGGGACTTGAAAAAGGTTTTCCCATACGTTTTTTATAGCTTATTTCCTCACACAAATAAGTCAAAGATTACTAAAACACATTTGTCTTTCATTTTTTAAAATTGAAATTTCTAGCTCTTACTACAGTCTTTTTTTATAATTTTTTAAAGAATGTATGTAGTATATGAACTATATGCCAACCTAACATACTATCATGACATAAACTAACTTAATCCATGTTTTTTAATAAAGGGGCCACACAAGTAAAGATGTCACGCAATATTGGGAAGGGGGTGGAGGGGGGTGGGAGTGTCAAAATTGTTAAATAGAATTGTCACAAATAACTAGGGGTGTATGTGGTAATAATGGTCTTAGCTACTGGACAAGGATTAAAAAGTTAGGGAGGACCCTGCACTGACCTGGATAGCGTTTAATCAGTGATAGAAAAACCTAAACTTGATAGATGTTACTAACGGGGTAGAGACATGGAATAGACATATAAATGGGGTAAAGGATTTGGTCAGGAGAATGTTGCTGTTAGTAATGTACCAAGTCAGCAACCGTGGGATTTGAATGCTGGTTAGTTTTTTGTAATGTGAGGGGTAGATATAAAGAGTTTCGGAACACTAGACGTTGAAGAGTTAAGACTATAAAGTTGACCGGTTGAGACGATTCACTTGAACAGATTTGAGCCGAGTAGAGACATTTGAGTCAAGACAGTCAAACTGAAAAAGGAAAAATTGACATATAGCTATAGAGAAACCTAGAGATAGTCAACAATGATAGAACTAGTAAGGATTACAGAAGAACTTTTATTTCAGTAATAAAACATTTCAGTAATAAAACATTTCATTAATATCTGTGAAACTGGAGTTTTTTGGATTATGTATGTCACGTTGTGATTTTTGTATGTCTCAACTATGATTTTGTCTGTCACAATAGTGCTTTTGTCTGCCTCCACACCTAGAAACATAATATAAATCACAGAGAGGAGCAGTCCTGTACTGACCACTACTATGTCAAAATGGTTTCTGATAAGTCAGGACAAGAGTACAAGAGCCCTTCTCATTAACATCCGTTCCAAAAACTAATGTATGTGTTCTGCTTGTGTGTGAACGTTCTGCTGTATATCCATGATTGTAAGTACTTAATTAAAAGGCTTGTGCCAAACAATTTATGGGAAAGGGAAATGGATTGGCAGGAATCCACGTATTGTAGTGAATCAAGCATCTTCCATTGACACTTCTGTTACCTGCGGCGTGCCACAAGGCTCAGATTTTAGGACCTATCCTAGTCTCCGTCTACACTACCCAGCTCGGCAGAATTATTGAAATCCTACAGAAATCAAATAATTAAGTACCATCTACATCATTTCAAAGATTTCCTACTCATAAATTGTTATCAAAAATGTATTTAAACTTAAGATTGTGATTTTTTTCCGGAAAATAAGTTTATATATTTAGTTTTGTAAACAGGTTATATAACTAATACAAAAAAAACTTGAACTGTCAGGACACAATAATAGAACAATTATTATTAGAAGATTTTGGTAATTCATACATACTTTTATAACTAGACAATATTACATTAATTATTTGGAAATAATAATAATATTATTAGGATTAAGCACAGATATTCCATTCAACAAATCATGGGGAAAAAATGATTCACCCATAAATTTAAAAAATCTCTTTTTTCAATATTTAGGCTGATATATTTCCTCCTAAAAAAGAATCGTTTTCTGATTGTCCTTTTAACTGGTTTATACACCTTTGACATATTGCCTAATATCGTATATTATTAAATTTGTATATATATATTTCAGCTCTAGTGACAGAGAGCTGTGAGTATCTTCAAACAATACCTACACTGATGGAGACCCGTAACTTTATATTTGATCAATTTGAATACATCATTCATTGCTGTCATGTTATTTTCAAGTATAGGATATGAAGTATTCCATAACAATTTCTTTTATAAATTTTAAAAAATTTTTAGTAATTCCTGAATTTTTTCAATTAAAATGGAATTGAAATTTCTTCTTATTTGGAAATGATGTTTAATTCTTTGGACATTGTTAATACTTTCAGATTTCCTTTCCTCTGTCTAACCATCAGGCAACATCATCAACCAAAGAGGAAAACTACTGCTTTATCCTTACAGAAATCAAGACATGGTCTACCATGTGATAAACTAAATTGCTCATCATAACAACATTTATTCTGAGTTTAACAAGGTCTTCTAAATGGAATGTGTCACAATCATCCAGATTATGATGGCCTTAAGGAGCATCTAATCTACAGCCACTTACATTAATCAAAAACTTTTAACATTATAACCAGTAGCTTTGTCATCATCATAAGTTCTAAGGATGCAATGATCATCCCGGCAATGTAGGCAATCATATTTACTTTAACCATGGACATATCAATGATTAAGGACTCTTATTGTAACATGAGAACATAGCTTCATTTTTAACACTAGCATTGAAATTATGAACTAAATATGCATTATATATCAGTACTGTCAAATGATGTCATTTTTGTAAAAGCTTCATTGTGGGAATATTATGCAGTTTTATCAATGTTGGGAATGACAAAGACTAAATCGTCTTCCATTTCATTTCATTGTCAGTATGGATTAAGTAAGCATCAACTAAGGGGACTTTAAGTTGAAGCCATTTGACTCAAAGAACTCATCTAAATTATCACATCTATCGACACTATAATTATCATTGCTATTATATACTATAGTAGTTTGTTATTACTTCATAACTTTTTGTGTATTTCCTCTTTTCTATGGACTAAATAAGCAGTGGACCAATACTGACTTAATACATTTACATAGTTATAATTATAGTTGCAAAACATTTAATATTTTGTTTGATTGCCATAAAAGATACATCATTTTAAAGGGATAGCTACAAGCTTATAAAAACATCATTTCCATCTTTATAGCTTTTATAGAAATGGGGTTATCAGTTATTTATTTTTTTATTTTTAAAAGCCCCAAAGTTACCACATTTCCCCATTTCTATTTTTAAAAGATATAGTTAACAAATATTCACGAGACATTCTTAATGCAGTAGACAACACAACGAACAACAAAACTTTTACATATGTCGCCCTGAATCATATCCCTTAGGCCTTAGCCTTAGGTAAGTAATTGTATGTGGCCTAATTGACAGCAATTGTTGGCTTTTGCCTAATTTACTTTTGGTGTTAATAATTAAGGTACATAATTAATTATGCCAAGGGCCCAAGCACTTTGACTTTCACTTCCACCATTCACTTCTATTATAATATTAAATATATAATATAAAGGTTGATTTTGGGTTAGCGGTAAGGCCGGCAATGTTTTCCACTGTATATAGGTCATTGAGGTTCCCCCCAGGTCCACTTCCGCCTACAGCACCGTACTAAAAAGATTTCGATGTTTGTATTCACATAATACAAGTACAAGTTATTGCTTCTTATTTTATTTTTTTTTTAATTAGGGAGGGTTTCTGGGGAATGGACTATATTTTTATAAACGTACTTCTTCAGTTTAACTAAAATAAACTACCACAAATGACAATAATGACATCCCAACTGCAAATAGCATTTAGTCTAAAGGCAAAGGGACCCGAGTCCGAATAGCAGCTAGGCCGACTATGTGTGTCCGGGTCCCTTAAGAATAAATTAAATGCTATTCTGATTTCATTTGTGGTATTTTATTTTAGTTAAACTGAAGAAGAATGTTTACAAAAATATAATCCTTTCAATTATCATTTATAGGGGTGTGCCGGATCCGTTTTTTCCAACCGGATCCGGATCCGGATTTTCTTATGCGAAATCCGCCGGATCCGGATTCCGGTTTCTCCCGGATTCCGGATTTTGGTACTATTGGTAGATACTTCGGTAAGTCAAGGTGGACTACTACTTTTTGTGTATGGGAATTCGCAATCGGCGCCAAAAAATCCGAGTTTTTAATTTTCCGATGTGTGTGTCTATTTATTATTAAATTAGTACTTTCGATATATATTTGAGTTCCGTTCCATTTGGATAAGTGTCTTACGAGAGACGCCATGTTTCTACGCGTTCGCAGCAGGTTATGCAGCTCGCTCAACCTAATTTCGCCATGGGGTTGGCCACGCCCCCCTTTTTAATGGCGGAAGTTGACGATACTTAGGAAATATTAATTTATTATCACTATTTACATCAAAATAATTGATAACTTGTGTTTCAGAATGCATTTAAAGACATTTAAACTGGAATGTTTTAATTTGAGCTTTAACAACCCGGTAGAATCCATATTATAAATGATCAGAATTTACCGTGTGCAACACGTTGTCATTGGCAACCATTCACAGCCACTTGCATAACTGTATCGTAGTACTACCTCAGAGTTTCATTCATAAGAGTTTGCCGTGTGCAAAAACTATTAAACCATTGGTCAGGGAAAGCTTTAATTAATTATTCATGTGCCAAAGTTGAAAGTTTAAACTAAGTCTAAACAGTATTTTAGTGATAAGGCAGGGAATGCGTTGCCTTATATAAACTATATAGTCATTGCGCATGACGGGATTGGTGGAATGAGATCACAGAATGTGGAGATGCAGTCCATGTTAAAAAATGACAAACCAAGTCGTACTTTAAAAATTCATAACTTTAAAACTACAACAGCTAAAAATATGATTTTGGTGTTATAATTCTTTAAAAAATTACATCTTTTCAACTATGCCATTGGTTTATTTTTACAAAAAGTTTAAATTTTCTTATCAAAGTCCCTACACTATTGGCCACTATTAGCGGTGCTGACTCTAGCCTCTGGTATGTACGGAATATTAAACATTAAACAAGCTCAACGCTCGAAACAATCGATTAATGTATCGTGATCGTGTGAAATTCGGGAAAGAGAATTACTTTTATTTCAGATTATGATCCGGTGAGTCACAAAATCTGGCAAATTCCGAGATCCGGTATATTCCGGATTCCGGAATCCGGTTGTTCCGGATACATGTAAATCCGGCGGAACCGGATTTCACCGGATAATGCAAAATCCGGCGGAACCGGATTCCGGACCGGGGTCCGGCACACCCCTAATCATTTATTTGATTGATCATTGATACTAATCATCTACTGATAAATAATTTTGTCTTACAAACCCTACAATATTTCTTTTACTTTTTAATAAAGCCAAACTCTCATTTCTGATACCCGGATACGAATAGCCGCAGCCACATTTTTTACGTACAATAAATAAGTTTTAATAACCACTGAATCAGTAGAAGACAGAAGAGTTACTTGGTTGAGTTGGCTATAAACTCAATACTCAGTGGACGTCGTTCTGATAAGTACTCTGAGACCTTGGTACTTTGGTACGGTTAACTGAGACTAAGATAAGAAAAAGTTAGAAGGCAAGGGTATGCGTAAATGGTGACTTTACCAATCTTTGAAAGCACTGAATATGAAAAGTCTGGATATTTTCCTTGTCCATGCTAGAAGTTATACAGTATATAGTTTTACAAAAAGACAAAACAGTGGACTGTATGCAATAAGCAGCTACGTTGGTTCAGCTATCATATATTCATCGTGTCATAGTTGTCAGTCAGTTTATTTTGGTTTATTCACAACGAGGCTTTTTACGGTGAAATGTTATTTTTACCCCGATTAGGGTTTCTCATTTCTCATTTTGCTTGTCCCGGGAAAATGGGATAAAAGTTACTCTTATACCGGGATTTACGGTAATTAAATTAATTACTATTAAAATAAACTGAATTCATTTTTGAATGAGAGGAGTGGGTCTTAATAATTGCTTAATTTGTATAGTCACTAAAGGAATGAAAAACAAGGGGTGTTATTGCTACATTTACATTGTTAAAGCGCCGTAAAGCGGGGTCTACAGCGGGCCAGGGAAGGTGAAAATGAAGCAACCGCTTGCAATCTGAGTTAGGTGGGGGGGGGGGGGATTAAATCCCATCCATGTGGAATTTTAAATTTCTCCAGGTAACATTTTTAAATTAGAAAGGAAAAACAAGGGGTGTTATTGCTACATTTACATTGTTAAAGCGCCGTAAGGCGGGGTCTACAGCGGGCAAGGGAAGGGGAAAATGAAGCAACCGCTTGCAATCTGAGTTAGGTGGGGGGGGGGATTAAATCCCATCCATGTGGAATTTTAAATTTCTCCAGGTAACATTTTTAAATATTAATGGCTCTCGCGGGGAAGGGGACATTGTCAAGGGACCGCCCCTTCCACTTTTCCTGGAGAAAAATGTGTACCAAAAAAAGCTAAATTTTTTTTTTTTTTAAAAACAACGAATTTGTCATTTTTAATTTATTTATTTTTCTTAATTTAAAGAGTAGTCAATTTCCTTCACCGAAAAAAATAATGACATAATGGAAACAAAGAAAATTGTTACGCTCTAGCAATTTTTATGTCGTTCACAATAGGCTTAGGCCTAGACTATATAATTTCAGTCTTTATGCAACATCCCGATTATAAGCTGCACCCCCAGTTTAAATTTACATCACGCGAAAGAGTTCAGCCTTTACTCAGTATAATACGGAATTAAACTACTTTCCCATAGCCATAAAGCAATGTTCCCTCTAAGGTTTGTTGGTTCGTGTGCAAAATCATAAAGTTGTGTGCAAATTTTTACAACATCAATTATTTGTGCGCAAAATTTTCAGCCTACAGACACAAACACACACTTAAGTGGAAATAAGCTGCGCGGTACTCAAAACTGCCGCGCAGCTTAAAGGGAACATTGCCATAAAGTATTTTAATTTAGTTCCATTAATTATCAAACGTCTTCAATTTCTGTCTCTTCACAAAATGAGAAAAGATTTTTTATTTTAAAGGACAGGTTGTTAATAGAATCATATCATCATGCTTCAAAAATATAGTTTTATATATATATATATATATATATATATATATATATATATATATATACACACACATATATATACATCTCATTATAAGTACTTGTCTTGACAGCATCTCATAATCAATACTTGTTTTGATAACATCTCATTACCAATACTTGGTTTGACAACATATTATTATCATTACTTGTTTTGACAACATCTAATGATCAAATACTTGGTTTGAAAACATCTCATTACAAATACTTGTTTTGATAACATCTCATAATCAACACTTGTTTTGACAACATCTCATTACCCATACTTGTTTTGACA